GCCATAGAGGTTCCATCCTTTTGTCGGTCCCCATTCTGCAATCAACGTCTTTTGTGTAGTATCCTCAGCATTCGGCATATACCACATATATGTCATTGGCGGACCCGTCTCACCTCGAAGAATAGCCGTCGCATTGCCCTTGATATCAGAAAATAGTGCTTGAAACCTTCCTACCGCCCGAACATGTTCTATCTTCCATGGCTGGCATTCAACTTGGAATCGCACATTGGGGGGCAATGAAGTGAGTCCCCGCCTGTAGTCATTCTCCCACACACGTTTCGCTTCCCATAGGATCTCAGAGGATGTACCTGGTTTGAAATAGATCCTACCCCTCGTGTACGGCCAATATCTGCCAGTATTCTCCTGAACCGTCCGATCCAAGTCCAGTGCCACCCTCTGTGTAGCATCAATTTGTTTAGAGTCAATAAGACCATTCATCGCCGTCGTCAGTGCCTCCTGTGAAAGAGCCCCCCGCTGACGCATCTCACGGTTCCTCCATCCCCCCCTTGAAACCCATCCCTTGAACTCAACATAACGTGGATTCCAAGCAGGATCGTGCCTGTCCGTACCCGCCTTCGTGGATCCACTTGCTACCGACAGCCCGCCCCCCTGCTTGAGCTTCTGAACTTCATTGGTGAGGTCCTGGATCGCCGACTCTGTTTTCGAGACCCTGGAGTCCAGACACGTTTTCAGACCGTCCATTTCCGTACGAATAGAGTTCCTGAACGATTGCATGTCTGCCGTCATAGTCTGTTGTCCCGTCATGATAGATCGAAACATCTGTTCAATGTCAAGGCCAGCTTCCTGGGCAACCTCATTCGCACCCAATGTTTGTCCCGTACCTCCTCCTTCTCCTTTCCCTCCTCCTTTGACATTACGAGCACGGACAGCTCTAGCAAACGCCCCACCCCCATCATCAATTGTCATGTCCTGGCCCGTCGCATGCAAGCCTGGAGCACCTGAAACTGAAGAACCTGCTGGCATCGCTGGTGCAGCACCTGAAACTGAAGAACCTGCTGCAGCCATCTTCCTTTTGTGGCTGCGTAAGATATTGAAATCGTAACCTTCACCCTGCACGAAGTGGTTACGCAAGATATTGAAATCGTAACCTTCACCCTGCACGAACGGTACTGTTGGTGTGAGCGATGGCACACAAATAACAGCTCTCCTGTCTTCTCGAGGTGTCCCGACCTGTCTAGCAAGATAGTCCCAGTCCGCGTGACTGAAGTCGGACCCCCAGCACTCCGTCGTTCCAAGAGAAAGGAAAAGAGACAATTGCAGCAGTAGCAATAACAATAACAAGTGCAGGCGGCCTATCACACACAATAACAATAACAAGTGCAGCGGCCTAGCTGACCTCGATCTCGCTGAACCCGAAGAAGACGATGAAGGCAGCGATGGCTGCCGCGCCGCCGCCCGCGGCGACGCGCCCCCCCCCCCCCCGCCCCCCCCCCCCCCCCCCACCCACCCTCCCCACACCCCCCCCCCCACACACACGCTCAGACGCAGGTGAGGATCCAGAGCTTGATCCCGAACGCCTTTCTGATCAACAAGCCCACTCCTGTTGCGCCTGTTGTTGCCCAAAACCCGGAATAGCCAAGCTCTGCGCGGAACACACGATCTGTCTAGTGAAACGAAAAGATGTCAGTACCCACAAATCCAGAAAGCAAATTTGGAAAAAACAAGAACGAATATGAAAATCGAAAAGAAAGAATGTCAGTTCACGGACCACAACCAGAGAAAGCATTACACATGCAAGAATAAATTCGGAAGTAGGCCCCCAAAAGACACGAGGAATTCACCAAGTGGATCATTTGCCCACAAAGCGGACCCATCGCATTTCGGGCGACCGCTGCCGCGTGCCCTTGCGCGGTGTACAACGCAAACGCGAACGAAAACGCGAACGAATGTGTTCAGGGGAGGGAGGGGGACAAGCAGGTCAAGTCCATGGACCGCAACGCGGGCACCACGCCACAGCAAACACTGCACGGCAGCGCGCGCATCACGGAACTGCAACGCGCGCCCGAAGCGAAGCAGTGCACACCGATGCAAAGGCACTGGAACCACGCCAGGAAATTCACGGGACCCCGGCGCGATCAGCGGGTTCCCCGAGATTGCAACGAGCCACTCGGACTGCAGCGCGCCCCTGACAACGCAATGCAGAACGCAGCGAAGATCATTCTGCCGCACCGAACCACGCGGAATAATCCAACAAAATGTCCCTGCGCCTCCGCGGCGCCAATATGCTGCTCTCCAGCGCATACGGGAACATGGACAAACCGTCAACCTTCAGCACGCAACGGCGCGGCAGCTCGGCGAGCACGCACATCGCGGCACAGCACGGCGCGGCACCATGCGTAGCACCCCGCGCTGCGGACATCGCACTGCCCATGCAAACGCCCAGCTGGGTGGGCGCCCCTCCACTCTGGAATCTGTAGCACGGAAACCATAAGACTGCAGCGTGTCACTGTAACATCGCAGTGCAAATCGCCGCAACACAACGCGGGCACTGCAACGCGGCGCAAGTATTAGATTATGACGAAATGTCTCCGTTGAAACACCGAGCCGCTCTCCAAGACGCAAAGCAGGACAAGCCAACCACGGCAATTGACGGCCAGGCACGCGCCCAACCACAGAGCAGAACTGCACGGCAGCCCAGCGAGCACACACGGCACAACACCGCGCGGCACAGCATGGCGCCGCATTGTCTGGCCCGACCAGGGCAGCACCATCCGCGCAACGAAGGAAGGCACCGCGCAACGAAGGAAAGCACCCCGCAACTCCGCGGGGGGGCCCCGGAGAGCCCACGGACGGCGGAATGGCGCGAGCCGCTCGCGAATCCAGCGCTAAACTTAGGAAAACATTCCTACGAAACCCTGTAGCGATCTCCGTAGCAACGCAATGCAAGGCACCACGGCAGTTTTCCTGGAAAAGGAAAACACGCAGATGACCGCGCCGTGCGCGCGCAAGACTGCAGCGTTTCCCTGTGGCCACCTGCAACCCGTTTACACCCCGGGATGGTTCCGGACGCGCCCCGGAACCACGCAATGCAACGCAGAGCAACGCGAGCCAGCGGCGGCGAAAAAAGCCCATGGATTATTTCGGGCGGGCGGGAACTAAAAGGCCCCCATTGGACATCCATCTGACACCAGACCTCGGCACGACGAGGGCCACGCGGCCCCTCCTTTCCTCCTCCCCCTCGTCGTCCTCATAAGCATAATCATCCATCTCATCCACTTCCATAATAAATCCAATTAAAACTCCTCCTCCTATTCCTACTCATCTTCATCCTCCTAACTCCATACGCCGTCAAGACCCTCCGCCTATTATGACTAATTACCCTCCGTCCTCTCCTCATCCTCATTCTCCTTCCTCCTTCCTTTTCCTCCTCATCCCTCCCCTCCTCCTCCTTCTTCCTGCTCCTCCTCCTCCCCCCCCCCCCCCCGCCCCCACTCCCCCTTCCTCATACCCCCCCCCCCCCCCCCCCCCCCCCCCCCCCCTCCCCCCCCCCCGCTGAATCCCAAGACCGCGACGGGGGTTTCTCAGGACCTCCGACGCCCGAGAGAAGGCTCCAGACACGCCCCCGAAACCATGCAACGCAGCGCAACGCAACGCAGGCCGGCGGTAGGACGGGTCGGCGAATCGACACAAGCTCTCAATCGAATCCGCCACCGATGCGCAACGAGAGCGAGGGAATCCATGTGAAGGGCACAGGTAGTAGGTCGCCCCCACCTGAAGAGAAGATGTATAAAGCGTAAAAATGGAATCGTTTTGAGTTGTTTCGCAGCTCCTGACGCGCTGTTTCCCCCCCCCCCGCTGAATCCCAAGACCGCGACGGGGGTTTCTCAGGACCTCCGACGCCCGAGAGAAGGCTCCAGACACGCCCCCGAAACCATGCAACGCAGCGCAACGCAACGCAGGCCGGCGGTAGGACGGGTCGGCGAATCGACACAAGCTCTCAATCGAATCCGCCACCGATGCGCAACGAGAGCGAGGGAATCCATGTGAAGGGCACAGGTAGTAGGTCGCCCCCACCTGAAGAGAAGATGTATAAAGCGTAAAAATGGAATCGTTTTGAGTTGTTTCGCAGCTCCTGACGCGCTGTTTCGTCTTAGTAGTAAGCTGTTATGTGTGACCACATCAAACATACATCTTCTGAGTTTCCACGATGATGTCTCGAGGGGCTTTCTCAATGCATTCGTAGCTCTCCGGGAGGCCCTCTCAGCAGCCTCAAGCAAAGGCCCCCCTGGAGGCCGTCAGTGAAATCCTCCAGACGCCGCACGACAGCCCCATGAGGCCCCCCAGAAGCCCTGAGGAAGCTCCCCAAAGGACCCCAAAACTAATCACCAGGGGTCACCGAAACCCCAAGAGACACCCACGCGGATTCTGACCCACAACCCAGGCACGGCCCCAAGACAGCCCAAGAGGCCTCCAACATGGCCCGGGGGAACGAGCGAAGCGAAGCGGAGCGGTTGTTTTACACGCGCGGGCGGGCTACCCGGAGGGGGCCGAAGACGCCCATGATGACCACCTCGTCGCCCGCTCGCCCCGCCTCGCGGCTGCGGCCCCCGGGGGCCCAGGGCGGGCGCCCGCGACTGCGGCTGCGGCCGCGGCTGCCGCCGCGCGGCAGGGGCGGCCCCAAGAGCGCCCCAAGAGCGCCCAAGAGCGCCCCAAGCGCGGCCCAAGAGGGCCCCGAGACGCCATCGTTGAACCTCCGACGGGGCGACGGGAATCAGGGGACCCCATCTTTTTGAACAATGGGGCCCAAGACGGCACCCGGGAAACCTCCTAGACGCGTCGGATGTCTGGTGGAGGGGGGCGAGGATGGAAAGGAAAGGAAGCGCGAGGGCAAGATGCGAGTGAGCCGAGAAGGGAAGAGGGGAAAGGAAAGGAGGTGGGCGAGCAAGAAGGGAAGAGGGAAAGAGAGGAGGTGGAAGCGAGGGGAAGGCGAGGGGAGGGCGCAGGGAGAAAAGGAAGCACGGCGCGAGCAGGGTTCCGTCTCAGCCTGGCCCGAAGACGCCGCCGACCGTCTCCTCGGCCGCCACGCTGCTGAGCAGGCGACCATCAGGCAGGACCGCGCCAATCCGCCAGACACCGGGGCCCCACCTGGCCGCGCGATGGCTGGTCGTCACCTGGCCGAAGATGTCCGCGAGGCGAACGGTGGGCCCTGCTCCAGGTATCCTGCAGCGCTCCACCCCGCCAGCAGAGACGAAGCGGATCGACTCGCCCTGGACCGACGCCTGCAGAAGCAACGCCGGGAGCAGGTGGGCCACGTAGGTCACGCCCCCAACCGGTGCGGAGAGCTCGCACTGCGCATTATCGTTCCCGCCGCATGCCACCGCCGCGCCGTCGCTCCGCAACAGCACCGTGTGGACGCGTCCCGCGGCTACCTGCGAATAGGTCAAGTCCTCGTCCGGCACGGGGAGCTCGCATTGTCCATCCCCGTTCCGGCCGCAAGCCACGGCCGCGCCGTCGCTCATGAGCAGCACCGCGTGGGCGCATCCGGCGGCCACGCGCGAACAGGTCAATTCCCCGTCCAGCGCCGGGAGCTCGCACTGACCGTCGCGATTGCAGCCAAAGGCCACGGCCGCACCGTCGCTCCTCAGCAGCACCAGGTGCCCCCCCCCCCGCGGCCACTTGAGTTATGAAGCAAGCCACGTGCTACAGACCCTCGATTCGCGAAAACCCAACAGTAGTGTTGTTAGTCGTGTTGGTAGTCGTGCGTAGGTGTTTTTGCGACACCAGGAATAAGTCGTGTACAGAATACTGTTTTCCAGGGAAAGAGTAGTGTAAGTTGTCGGCTTTTGTCAGAAAGACGTGCGTTCGCCGCGCGGTACTCGATCAAAAATCCAAGCAGTCGTGTTTTGGAAGCTTCGGAAATCGAGGGCTCGATCCGAAAAATCGGAGAAGACCGAGCGGCCCCCAACGCTTCGAGAAATCCGACCCGAAGGTCCACAAATCGGAGTTCTGATCGAACACAGCGCGGCGGGGTAATTTCACCGTGCGCTACTAACTACCAACATGGTTTCCAGCACCCCCAGAAAGCAACATTGAGCATGCGACTGCTTTCCGATGCCCCCACCAGGGTACACAGGTCTACCTTCAACACACAACTCAGGAAGAGTTCGAGTTAGCTGGGGCAGGAGAGGGGGAATACCAACAAGAGGAAGTGGGAGAGGGAGTTGCAGGGGGAGGCGGGCAGACGACGAGGAGGGGTCTGGCGGAAAGGCGGCGGCCTCAACACGACACCGCATTCAGACAACCGTGTTTTTGTTCATTTGTTGCTGCGCTCGGCGGGTGCAGGCATCCCGAGCACAACGACGCAAACGAGCCAGCAAGAGTCGTCTTGCTGGCCTCTTTTTATAATCAGCCCATCGGCTGGCCAGGGCGAGAGCCATCTTCTGAATAAGAACCGTGTCTGTTGCGTGTGTTCCTCCCCCTCCTCATCCCCTTCCTCCCCCCCCCTCATCATCATCGAAACCTCATCATCATCATCATCATCATCATCATCATCATCATCATCATCATCATACTCATCATCATCATCGGCATCTCGCGCCTCGGCCCACGCCGAGCGAGCGCCGCCCTACTGCAGGCAACGAGCCTTCTCGGTCTGCGCCCAAACGGCTGCATGCAAGACCGAGCTCGGGTCGACACCAATCGATCTCAGCATCTCGACGCGCTTGCCTATGGCAGTGCGCTTCTTGACCTTGTCGGCCTTGTGGGCCTCAAGATCATAAACTATGAGGCCGCTCACGTAAGTCGTGAGGCCTTTGACAACGAGGTCGGGGAAAGAAGCGAAACGTGGATCTACATCACTGTCGAACGCAGCGACCAGATCTGCAGCATCCTGGTGGGCCTGGGGGGAGCGGGGCAGTGGTCATCGCCATCACCATCGTCATCGTCATCATCATCACCATCATGAACCTCATCATGATCATCACCACCGTCATCAGCATCATCATTATCGCCATCATCACTACCACCCTGCCCACCAAGGCTGGGGGGCATGAAGACCAGGAGGGGTGCGCCATGAAGGCGAAGGGTTGGAGAACTGGGAGGCGGCGGAAGCGAGAGTAAAAGGGGTACATGGGATTTGGGCGGAAAGGAAATGAGGGAATGGAGAGAAAGGAGGGTGAAGACAGAAGGGATGGGAGAAGGGAGGGCAGAAGTGAGGCCGTCATGCCCCCCTACACCCACACTCCAACGATCCCCGTACTCCCACTTGCTACTCCCTACTAAAACGATTCGCCTAAGAGGGGGGAGGAGGGGGAATAATGATCCCCCCCCGACTCGGACCCCCCCACAGCCTCCTCAACCCCATCCTCATCATCCTCCTCATCAGCATGCCTCCGTCAAGCGCCCGAGGCAAGCGTGGAAACGCAGCGGGTCTGGCATCTTGCAGACCGTGACGTCGAGCGTCGCCTTGACAGTCTTCCAGTCGTTGTGCTCGAGGCCGTTGGTCCAATGTCCGTTCTCGACACCGCCCTGCCACGTCGTGACTGTCAAGAGCGCGTCCGCAACGTTCTCGTGCATTGAATCGAGAGTGGTCTTCACAGCGTTCCCGATTGCAGCGTCAGCAGGCCCCGCCAGCTTGGCCAGGAGGTCAGTGACGCCGTGCGTGGAACCGATCTCTGTGAACTCGGCGAACGCGTTCTCGGCGCTCTTGTTGACACGACGCAGCTCATCCAGCGCCTCGCGCTCTGGCGGGGCCAAGCTCATGGTCGCATCACGAGGCAAACCCACGAAACGCACGGCCAGGCGCGCCAAGCCATCGTAGCACTTCGCCGCCCCACGGTACATCTGCAGTGCCAGGGACTGCTAGTCAGCGGGAATGCCCATCATCAGCAGGTCCTTCGAGTATCCCAAGTTCTGCTTGAGCTCGTCCGTTGGCATGGCCAAGCCCTCGGAGCAAAACAGCGACACGCCATGCAACATGAACTCGTCGATCTTCTGGCAAGCGTCCATGAATAAGTTCACGTCCCCGGGGCGCTGGAGCTTCAGGCCAAGCGAGCGCTGCACCACAACTCCAAGCTGAGACAACGTCTGTGTACTCGCCTCCTGGGCGACCTCCTTGACGGCCTTCACGAACTCATCCAGGGTAGCTCCCGCCTGCGCGCTCAGCAAGATTGTGGAAATGTCGGCCATCCACTCCGAGATGTCATTTAAGAATGGGAAGCTGTCCGACGCAATGGCCAATATCTTCTGGAAGGCCTGGACGTCTTCGACGATCGCTTTGCCATCCGCGTATCTGCGTTTCGTCGCAACCACCTCAGCTCGAATCAGATCGACAAGCATGTCCTCCAGAGGTTGCATCATGCCGTTGACCAAGCCCGCCTGCAAGCGCGGTACATTGGGAAGCACCTTGCTCAAGGCAACAGCTCGAGTCTCATCCGTAGCTTCCGCCATGTCGGCTCTGCACCTCTGATATGTGTGTCCGAGCTCGCTGATCTGGCCGACGGACCTGCACACTGCATTGAACCTCTTCAGCCACTCGTCGTAGCCCTTCAATGCGTCGAGAACAGACCTGAAGATCCGGCCCTTGCCCTGGTAAACCTCGGGCGCGTTTGTGAAAGCGGCTAGCTCGACGTCCTCGGCCAGCAACAGGTTCGGATTGAGAATTTGGTACACGAACGTAATGGTACCCATCATATCGACCAGACACGACAACTCCGCCGACGGCACCTGGGAGGACCACGGATGGACCAAATAAGCTCGCACCTACCAGACAAGTGCCAACCCCGTGCAGCTCCGACCCCCGCCTCTAGCACCCCTGGACCAAGAATATGATTCGGCTGGGCATAGCATGCTGCATATGCGTCGCAGAGGCAATCGCCAGCTTGGGTGCCGAACGCTATGCCCGTGCGATGTGGCTACAGTAGCTATTGGTAGCGAGGCGCGGCTATCATCACTGTGGCCCGACCCACGCGCGAGGGAAACAAGACGGCTAGCCGCGTGATCTGGCAACGTGACGCACGCAGCGAATATTTGGCGGACCGACCCAACGCACGGGATTGCAACGAGGCGGCGCGGACGGTAACGCTGCGAAACCTCGGCGGACCCACGCACCGCGCGAAGCGGCATCGGAAGGGCAACGCGGCGGCACAGGCAGAAGCGACAAGTGGCGAATTCCCGCAGGGCTGTCTCAACCCCACAGAGATCACAGCGAACTTCCAAATTGTCAGAACTGCAATTGCTTAGCCACCGATCGCGCGATGCGGCAAGGAGGCGGCGCCAGACAACGAGGCGAATTTTAGGCGGACCACCCGAGCGAACCATGCGGCATCGAACCTCGATGGAACGTCGGCGGCAACGCGGCGAAACCACGGTGGACCCATACGCACCTTCAGAACGCGAAATCAACCCTTCAAATCACACCAGCCCTCTGAACGTGAGTGGTAGGTAACCCGTTCGATGCACCCCCCCTCTTCCACTTGCGGGCACCCCTCCCCCTGCCCCCATCCCCTTGGGCCTGGAGGGGGAGCTCCGCTGGCAATTGAGGGCCTCCTATGCGACCCCTGGGAGGGCTATTCTTTGACACCCATCGCAAAAATCGCGGCCTCCAGCGGAGGCAGGGGGGTGCCATCGACGCCGTGGCTTCTCATGCCAGGTTGTCCTCAAGAGACGCCCCCGGCCCTCCAAGACGACCCAATGCACACGCGCCCAAGATCTTCGCGCAAGCTTTTCGAAGGAGCTCGCGCGAAGCTTGTCGAACCACCCGCACGAGCCAAGACGAGGGGAACGATGGGGGACACGAAAGATGAGCAGAAGGGAAGGGGTGCAGCCAGAAGCAAAAGAGGAGGAGAAAGCGGAATCAACGTCCGACGGAGAGCGCCATTCGTTGTAGTGGGTATTGTTGGATGGGCTGGTGAGGATTCGCAAAGCGTGAACGATTACAACAGCTCGCGTGCGCCATTGTCATCCATGTACATCATGCACGTCACTGTACATGTTATACATCTGGCCCTCCTGCCCCTCCATTTCTGTCGGGTGGGTGAGGATGAAGGGGGGGGGGGGGAGGGGCTGAGGGAAGAGCGCGCCAGTGGCGGTGGGAGAAGGCAATACGTCCACCGCAACAGAGTGGGCGAACGCGGCATCCAAGCACGCGGGGTGCGGTGCGGCCAGACAACAGGCGAGCCCAAGACTTTTTTGGTGGACCTGTGATGGCGGGGGCAGCCAGGAGAACATTCCCCTGGGGGAAACTCCGACACGCTGACCTGAATTGCGACTGGTCGCACCTGTCCCATGACGGGGTTATTCCCAGCAGCCGATGGCACAACCCATGTCGCAACTAGGCGGCGGTACGTTTTCGGGTGCGGAGGTGCAACCTACGGCGACTCGAATTGTTGGCCTTGTTCTCGGCGAGCGAAAATACAACTTACGGCAGAACCAACAATAGACGGTTTGATTATCGGCGGCCGTCCGCGCGCGCTTTAGCGCAACCAACAGGAAACTGTGTTTTCTCGACGGCCGATGGCGCAACTCATGGCGCAACCAATGTGGGGTGGGTCCCCGACGGGCAAGGACGCAACTTATGGCGCAACAAATGCGAGCGGTGGCATTCTCGGCGGCCGAGGGCGCAACCTATGGCGCAACCAACGCGATGCGATTTCCATCTCGGCGCGGCGCAACCTTTGGCGAGCCATATGCGAGACGATGTCAACCTTTGCGGCGGATGACGCAAACTATTGCGCAACCGAGGGGGGACTTGGTTTGATTTCGACGACCCAGGCACCCGCCTATGACGCCACCAATGCAGGCAGATTTCGTCTCGGCGGCCGCGGGCACAACCCATGGCGCACTCAATGTGCGGCTGTCTTATTCTCGCCGAGCGAGCGCGCAACTTATGGCGCAACCCGCAGGATGCGGTTTTCTTCTCGGCGGTTGAGGGTGCATCCGATGGTGCAACCAACGCGATACTGGTCCATTATCGCCGAACGGACGTGCAACCCATAGCTGGACCAACACCACGCGTCGTTTTCATTCTCGGCGGCTGAAGGCGGACCCCATGGGCAACCAATGGGGCGCGGTGCGATCCTCGGCGGCCGAGGCGCAACCTCGAGCGCAACCAACGAGAAACTTGTATCCCCGACAGCCGTGGACGCAACTTCTGGCGCAACCCATGCGTCATGGTTGTAGTCTCGCCGACCGAGGGCGCAATGCATGGCGCAACCCTCACGAGACGGTTGCAATCTCGGCGGCCGAAGGCGCACACGTTGGCGCAACCAATGCGGCGCGGGTTTCGCATCGGAGGCCGAGGGTGCAACCGTTTGCCCAACCAGTAATACACAGTTGTACTCTCGATCGCCGAGGGCGCAACCCAACGCGCAGCAAATAAGGGACAACGGTTCTTTTCGGCGGCCGAGGGCACAACCTCTGGGATAGCAGCCAGGGGCGGTTCACGTCTTGTCGGCCAAGCTCGCAACTTATGGCGCCATGAGTGCGGGGCGTTGTGCTTTTCTCAGCGGCAGAGGGCGCGCCCGGTAGCGCGACCAATATGATCTGCGGCCGACAGCACAACTTCTTGTGCGACTAATAAGGGACGGTTATGTTCTCGGCGTTTGGCGGCGAAGCCTATGGCGTAATCAGTTGGAGGCGGTGGTATCTTCAGAGGCCGAAGCCGAAACCCATGGCGCAGCCAACAGGAGATGACGTGTTTCTTTGCTGTCGATGGCGCGACACATGGCGCACACATGCTGAATTGTTATATCCTCGGTGGGCGAGGGGGGTGGAGGCAACCAATGGCACAACAACTAGAAGACGCGTTCCCGCGGCGGCTGAAGCGGAACCTTCAGCGCAGCCCAATAGGAGAGCGTTTTACTTCGGCGGTTGAGGGCGCAACTTACTGCGCAACCAAGTGGTTGCAATTTATTCGCGGCGGCCGATTGTACAACCTATGACGCACCCGATAGGACGCGTGTTGGGGTTCTGTTGTTGAAGACGCAACCCGCAGCGCAACCCATATGAGTGCTTGTCCCCCTCTGCGGCCGAGGGCACACCATATGCCGCGCCCAGCGGGGGAACTGTCGCAGTTCCGTCGGCAACGGGGGCGATTGCGTCGGCGGCGGCGGCGGCGGCGATGATGGCCACCGCCACCACGACGCCCAATGCAACGATGGGCACGCCGACGTTGGGAAATGGTTAGTTTCCCAGCCCAGAGGGGGGAGGCGGAGGAGGACATGCCACTCGGGAGGGGACCCCTTGTCGAGCTTGCCAGCAGGGCGTCATCTCCAGGAGAGGTCCTCTCATCGGTGGCGCCTTCTGCGCCGTTGTTTCAACCGAAGGCGCATAAAAATGACCGCGGACATGTTTATGCGGCTGTCGTGCTAGGCTGAGATCGGCCTTGGGTCAGTTGGAGTGGGCGGGCCACCGACACTTTGGTTGCGCAACCTGCGTCGCAGGCAGACCCAGACATGCGACGTCCTGAAAACATCAGGGCAGAGGTTTTGGCCGTTTCTTCGGCCTCCTGGATCGTGCGCATTGGATGTTCAATTCTTGCGCATCGCGATGCGGCTGCCACCCTAGCAAAGCGTGTTTTCGAAACGTATTCCAGCAAGGAGAGGCGCCAACTATAGGACCACGAAATGAGGGGCCCGAACGACTCACCCCGACCGAGAAGCGGGGGGCCCGAACGACCCACCCCCGACCGAGAATTGAGGGGCCCGAACAACCCATCTCCGATCGAGAGAGGGAGGCCCGAACGACCCATCCCCGACAGAAATGACTGGCCCGAACGACCCACTTCCGACCGAGAGAACGGAGGGTCCCGACCGACTCACTTCCGACCGATAACTGATGGGCCCGAACAACTCACCTCCGACCGAAAACGGAGGGGCCCGAACGACTCACCCCCGACCGAGAATTGAGGGGCCCGAGCGGTTCATGTCCGCCCGCACCCAGGGAGTTGGGTGGATTGCAGTGTCATTGCAAAACGTTGCATTGTCATTGCGCGCTTCCGATCGGGAAACTCGAAGCGCCATCTTGGGACTCTGAAGGCCCTTCTGGGAGACTTCTTGAGGCTCATGGTTGGCCTCCCCTTCCGAGCTCGAGGGAGCTCGGAGGGCCGCCAGCACCCTACCCGCCGCCCCCAGAGGCGCATCCAGGATAGCCTCCCGAAGGCCCCTGACCACATTTGTGATGTCCCAGCCCCCTCCCCCTACATGGCGGCCCGACCCAGCACTGCAGGGCCGAAGATTTGCCTCAGAGAGGCAACGCCGACAGTCACGACGATCACACCGCCCCCAAAATGGCCCAAAGCGGTTCGCAGAAGCCACCGAGGCACGGCAACAATGGCCCGCGAGGCCCTTACCGAGCCACCAAGATAAGCCACGAAAAACGCGCCCACCCAAAACAACATAACACATCCAGACTCACCCCGAGAAACCACCAGGAAACAGCCGAGAAGCACCACTGGAAACAGTGCCTTCAGGATGCCTCTGAACGACAGCGCAGGCACGGCAGCGGCATGAGCCGAAGGTCTTAGTTAATATGCAAGCGCATGTGCAAACAGGATTTGTCAAGGTTCACGGTTCGCTGATGTTCCAATGGCTCACCTCCATCTCAGCTTCCGCGACCTCCATGCAGAACTTCTCGATGTACTCCAGGACGCTGCTCAAGACGGGGATGCCGCCGTCGCCCGCCATGATCAGCGGCTCAATGATTTGTTCCCAACCATCCTGTGGTGTTGGGTCCTCGTTTTGAAGAGACGGTGCCCCGCGTTCTCCTTCCTTCCTTCCTCCCGCTGCCTCCTCCCCCCTCCCATCATCATCATCATCAACACCCATTTCGGCACACCCCTCACACGTTTCGTGGCTCCATAGGGAGCTCCACCGAAGGCCCCAGTGCCCGCGGCCGCATGCGTCCCCCACACACCCATTTCGGCACACCCCTCACACGTTTCGTGGCTCCATAGGGAGCTCCACCGAAGGCCCCAGTGCCCGCGCCCGCATGCGTCAGCCCACACCCATTTCGGCACACCCCTCACACGTTTCGTGGCTCCATAGGGAGCTCCACCGAAGGCCCCAGTGCCCGCGGCCGCATGCGTCCCCACACCCATTTCGGCACACCCCTCACACGTTTCGTGGCTCCATAGGGAGCTCCACCGAAGGCCCCAGTGCCCGCGGCCGCATGCGTCCCCCACACCCATTTCGGCACACCCCTCACACGTTTCGTGGCTCCATAGGGAGCTCCACCGAAGGCCCCAGTGCCCGCGGCACACCCCTCACACGTTTCGTGGCTCCATAGGGAGCTCCACCGAAGGCCCCAGTGCCCGCCCGCATGCGTCCCCCACACCCATTTCGGCACACCCCTCACACGTTTCGTGGCTCCATAGGGAGCTCCACCGAAGGCCCCAGTGCCCGCGGCCGCATGCGTCCCCCACACCCATTTCGGCACACCCCTCACACGTTTCGTGGCTCCATAGGGAGCTCCACCGAAGGCCCCAGTGCCCGCGGCCGCATGCGTCCCCCACACCCATTTCGGCACACCCCTCACACGTTTCGTGGCTGGCTCGATATGGGGATAGGGAGCTCCACCGAAGGCCCCAGTGCCCGCGGCCGCTCCATGGGAGCTCCACCGAAGGCCCCAGTGCCCGCGGCCGCATGCGTCACCCACACCCATTTCGGCACACCCCTCACACGTTTCGTGGCTCCATAGGGAGCTCCACCGAAGGCCTCAGTGCCGCCGCCCGCATGCGTCACCCCCACCCATTTCGGCACACCCCCCGCATTTCTCGCACGGCAGGGTCATCACCACGGTGGCGTGCCAGGGGCGCACCATGCGCGAAGGCGACGGGGCGGGGGAACGGCGCTCCGGGGGCGGCCAGACCTCCGGGGCGCGAGCAGTCCGCGGCCAGACCATCTCTCGGTCCTGTGGACTCTCGCCCTGGGCCGTCGGCTGCCCGGCGCGCTGCTCCCTCGGTCGACGTCGCCCAGGCGTGATCCTGGATTGCGGCCGCCACGAGGTAGGGAACGGCAAGAAGGAGGACGACGACTGGTGGCTGGAGCTCTACGCGCTGCTCTCGCGCGCCACGCGCCACGAGGACCTCCTGCTCATGCGGGCGCCGCGCATCGAGTTCTTCCTGGCAGGGCCGCCGCAGGGCTTGCGGAAGCAGCTGGAGCAGTTTGCGGCGCGCACGAAGCGGTGCAGGAGGGAAGCGACGGCCCTCGCCAGGGAGCTCGGCTTCACCGAGTTCATCCGCGAGGCCTGACCTGAGGAGCGTCTCCCCCGAGCCGCGCCTTCTCTCGACTGCCCGACTAATTGTTTGGCCTCGCGCCGCGGACGACCCGCGCGCGTCGCTGGGACCCTCTCGGGGCGACCAGCGCGCGTCGCGGGAACTCCGTGCTGCGGGGGGCCCGGCGCCTCGTTCGCCCGTCGTCGCTCTGCCCAGCGGTCAGAGACTTGCCCGCTATCAGCCAGCCAGTTAGCTAGTCAGCTCTCTCTGCTTCGCGCAGCGGACGACCCGCGCGCGTCGCTGGGACCCCGCCCGGGGCGACCAGCGCGCGTCGCGGGGACTCCGCGCTGCGCTGCGCCCGCAGCCTTGGATTTTGGAGCGCGCGGGCAAAGAGGAAGGAAAAGAAGAGCCGAAAGCGGGCGCGATCCTCGCAAGAGGCGCGCCGACATGGGCGTCGCGACGTGCGGACGCTGCCGTCGGGGTTCCCGCGGAAGCTGCCTGCGGCGGCCACGCCCAGTGTCACGTGTGTTCGGACAGGCATGCTCGACACTTACACTAGGCGGTTCCATGATCGCATTCATGCAAATATATTCACTCGCGCGCAGACCCATTCATACTCAGATTCCCTCGCGCTCTGACTCACCCGCGTTCTTTCTCTCGTAATCAGATCTATCGTATTCCTTTGCGTTGTGTACCCCGCCACATTTCGGCACACCCCTCATGCGGTTCGTGGCCCCATAGGGAGCGCCACCGAAGAAGATACTCACAATTGCGATACTCGCAACTGCATATGGTTGGGTCCTTCGCCAGGATAATTTACCCACCACCTGCGAAAAGAACGACACCTTCCACGGCGAGTCCAGACACTCGCACAGCGCGGCCTTCGGAGCCTTCACGTTGTAGACCTCGCCAGCGGTGACCTGCGACGCCCGCCAAGGCAAGGTAATGGTGACCAGCTCCTTGGCCACGTTCTCGTCGCACTTGCCCTTGAGTTGCTCGTTCTTCGCCCTGTGCAACAAATTCTTGTGAACATCACTCGGGATCGGAATGCCTTCGTCCTTCAGCGCGTCCAGAGCTAGGTGCAACATCTCAGGCGACTGATCCATGATCACAGAGTAGTGCAGCATCTCGGCGTAGTTGAAAATATTCAGCTTCTTCCGCATCTCCTTTGCCTCGTCCGTCCAACCGTGCTTGTGCAGCTTCTCGGCAGCGTCGGCCGCGTGATGCTTGGCGACCCCCTGCTTGCCCTTGGTCATGGCACCCACGAAGTCCAAGGATGAAAGCTTACTCTCCATGTAGACAACGACGGTCTCCTGACTCAACGACTGGATGCGCACTTGCGCTGGCAACTGGCTGCCCTCCAAGCCGCCCGCAGTCCGGAAGCTGACCAACGACTCGCCTGCCACGGAGGCGGCATCGTCCATACCTTCGGGAGACCTGGCGGCGCCGCCAGGCGGAGTCCTGGCAGCGATCGGAGTCAACGGATCGTGGTGGAGCGACATGCCACTACTCTGGCGACGAGGTGCCGCAGGCGGTGGCATCGGCGGCTGCCTCGACCCCGACGAGGCTGCCTCGACGACGACGGCGCCACCTTCATCGCTAGGATCGCCATCGCCACCATCACCGCCAAGGCGGTCATCCCGCGTAGTCGGCTCCATGTGGTCAGCGCCGCGCCTCGCAGCTCTGTTGGAGTCCCTGCGCTCGTTCAGCCCTGCGGACTTCGCCTTGATGTCGTCCAGCTTGGGCGGAGCGACGATGAAGGAAGCCTCAAGCGTTGCGCCCTTCTCGTTCGGTACAAGCGCCTCCGAGAGAACCTCGCCGCAAACCTGGTTCAGGCACCTCGAGTCCTGCTGATTGAAGTAGTGCCGATCTGGGGTGAGCCTCTGAGTGCAACAATCCGCCATGAAGGTGTCGAAAAACTCCACCACGCGGTACTTGCTGAGCGGGTCGTATTCGAACTGCCACACTTTCTCGACCGATCCTGGCTCCCTGGGGTTCGGCAGCATCATCGTCGGGACGTGCTTCACGACCATGCCCTTGGGATCCCTGTCGAGCTCCGCCCTCAACTCACTGGCGTTCAGAACATTGACGTACCGCTTCACCGTGTAGCCCGAGGAATGCGACGCCGTCACCGTGGAAGGAATGAAATCCCTCGCCTTCTCCCCCCTCTTCACTGCGAGACCAGCAGACACAGCATTGTTCTCGTTGCCAGTGTTCTCGGCGGCCATCTCCTCGAAGCTCCTCCAGACTGGGGAAGTGTCCCATTGGAAGTCACGGCAATCCAAACACTGATCGCCCACGGGGGTCGAGACGCCGTTCGACACAGCGTGTTTGGCCCACAGCTTGCCAGCCTGTGGAGGAACCTCAAGCAAGGTGTTCAAGTGCGGGGGGGGGGGCGGGTGCTAAATGAAGACGCCGCCTAAGGCGCCGAGCGACTCATCCAGAAGCACCTAAGGCCCCAAACGCCAAACAAGGCCCAAACCACCCAACGCACCCACATGCGCCTAAGGCCGCCTAGACCATGCCTACGCGCTTACATGGCCTGAGAGCAACCAGAAACGCCCGAAGCTCCTAGACACCCAAAGACGCCAGCGGCCCCCCAGACACCAGCTGGACTAGTTGAACGGAGCCGCAGGGCCCTGCGGTCGGTGCCAGACCCCGAGCAAAACAACAAACGTGGTGTACGTCGCCCTAATGAGTGTTTCTTTTCGGTTAAATAAATGGCGAGGCCTTGTCTGTGCTACACCGATATATGCTATCGCGCGCTTGCCGCGCTGGAGGTATTTGCCATGCAACTCGCTCACGTCACTAACCACCCCTGTTCAACCGACCGCGAGCAACGCGTTTGATTATGCGTCAAGCACGTTGCCCTAGGTTCGGACGTAGCTGTGATATGCACGCGGCCAGAGTCTGCTGTACCATATTTGTAGACCAGCACAGCTTACACCCTTGTGTGACCAATGCAACTGACATGGACATCGTTTCTGAAGGGCAGTGAGGATGCGCGAAGTGAACACGACATGGAACTATAAACGCATTTCTATAAACGTTGGCACAAACGCGTTGGCTTACGCTGGTGATCACCCGCCCCGAAGCCTCGCCGAAATCCAGCCCAGCCCACCAGGAGCGGTAGGCTTCAGACGCTGGCCCCGAGCTCTGGCCAGCGGCCTCCAAGCTCTGGGCAAACTCGTCCCAGCGGCCAAAGGCGAAGGCAAAGGCCCTCGACGACTGAATGAACGCCTGTTCGAATGCCATGTGGGCGTCCGCAACTTGCGGCCACCAACGTGGGTATGGCATGACATCGGCATCATCATCGCCGTCTGGTCGGCCATCAGCTGGTATCCAAGTGTGGCTGTCCTGCCCATCAGGTGTGAGCACGGACGCTGGCCTAAGCAGCTTTGGCCGCTTGGCCTGCTGCTCTGGCTCTGACGCATCATCCGCATCAGCCGCGGGTGCGAGTGGAGGCGGTGCGTTGCTGGTCTGGCGGGTGATCGCGATGATGTCATCGTTCGGCTGCGAGGGGGGAGGTGAAAGCAGCGGCGGGTCCGCAAACCGCCTCGGAGCGGCGCCATCGGACCCGTCGAGCGGCGGGAGGGGCTCGGTAGACAGTTGTGGAATCGCCTTGGCATTGGCGATTGGTCTGATGAGTAGGTGTGTCGGGGACGACATGACGTCGCGGCTGCGGCATGCGCCGCTAGAACCGATCTTGAGCCAGGCGCGTTGCGGGCGGTGCATCGCTCGGCGAGCGCATCGCATCACATCAATTATCCTGCCACCCCCCCTCACCACCATCCTGGCGAACGGCGCGGCCCGTGGCCCCCTTCTCTACACGGCCTCCTGAGGCGTTCCTGCAAGGCCCCCGCCCCAGAGCATCTCCACCGACCCCAGGAGCTCTCATGATGAGGAGCCCAATCGGCGCATGTGGACTCGGAGAAGGCAATGGCCACCTCGGATGCGCACCGACCCCTATCGTTTAACGCAACAGCTGGGGGGGTAACACCGTCACACACAATGGAAACTAGAGCTGCTCTCGCTGCAGCTGGCGCACACCGCGTGGCCACCAGCAGCTCGCTGGCGGCGGGCGGGCGGCGGCGCTGGGTCGTCGCCAAGGCGCTTGCCAGCCTGCCCTTTGCCAGCCTTGGAGCCCCTCCCCTTGCCGCCACCAAGCGCGGACATCCCTGCGCTTGTGGGGCCTCGGATCGAGCAGCTCGCGAGCTGCGCGTGCTGAACTGAACGCGCCAGTCACGATGGGGTAATAACTTGGGCCAGAACGCACCGACGCAGCGCAATGTCACAATGCCAGCGTCATTCCAAATGGACCAGGATGGCTCACAATATTTCACGATTGCACAGGGCGGCCCCAAAAGATGGCTACACCAAGGTCTAGACATGGTAGGACAGTGTTTTCCAGTTCCGAGCAAAATCAGGAGGCCACATGATAATCTCGGGGTCGCCCAGCGACGGCGCGCCGACCACCGACACAGACGCCGATGGAGAGCCCTCGCTGCGCCCACGCGGACATGAGATGACGCCAGCAGGCCTCCAGCATGCGACCATGGACCATCGGAGCGCCCTGATTGGTCATCACTGGGTTCTGGATTCTGGATGCCTCGAGGTCCTGGGCCCTGATGTTTTCACGTGCGCCTCTGGGACCCTAGAGCTCCAACCGCCCCGCGACAGGAAGTCGCGCCGCGCCCCCCCCCCCCCCGCCGTCCAGGATTCCGTCCGCGACCATCTGCCACCAGCCTTTCCCTGGAACACCCTCACCCGCAGAATTTTCCAACCCCTGAACTCCGACACCAAACCAGAAACGGAAACGCCTGCCCACGAACTGCGGGCCCCTGGGCAGCCCAAAACCATCCCCGTTCAGCCAGCCAGCCCCCATCCAGAACGATGGACGGGCCACCGCTGAAACTGGCGTTTGGTAACATGTCCCAAGGCCCCGCCACGGGCCACGGATCCCAAGATCCGCCCGTCCCCAACCGTCGCCATCGACGGCACAATCACGAACCTCTGGCTGCTAGACAGACAGTGCGCCCTGGGGCCAGCAGACGGGCGGGGGGGGGTACTTAGGGCACGCGCATGGGCGATATGCGGTGTCTTAATGCTAAACGTAAGTGCAAACCTGACGTGTTACATGACTGATGCGAACCCCGACGGCGGAGGAGAGTCATGTTACATGACTATAAGTCAACCACGCGTTCAAAAAGAGTCGTGTTACATGACCCGTGGAAAAAAACAGTCGTGTTAGAGTCGTTTTTAGTCGTGTTTAAGACGTGTTTGAGTCATGTGTCAAACACGCTTGCGGGAACGAGTCGTGCGTGTAGTCGTGTCACAACCGACGAAGATTGAACGAGTCGTGCGTGTAGTCGTGTCAAAACCACGAACACAAACCAGAGTCATGTCGAACACACAAACACACCACGCCGAGAGCACTGAGACTACGCGACTTGGATCATACAGTTCGTTATGGTAATGTAGCCGACGTGCCCGCCGCCACCCTCAGAACACATAGGGCGCCCGGGTGGCGCTACTGGGCCCTCTATATTCACTGCGCCTGTCGGCTGCAACCCCGACGCACCTCTTCATGCTAGGAATTTCCCATCGTAGCTTTCCTGCCCTGCTTCCAACCACCGTTGGCCCAAAGCATCGTTCCTCATCGTGAGCCCCCGTCCTCACCCCCACCCCTCCCCCTCCTCTCCCTAGGGCGTCCACTTCCTTGCAATCCTTCGGGTCTTATCGCACTCCAGTGCTGCATTCCTCCATCCAACAAGGCGCTCCACCCGACCCCCTGTTTGTGCAACGCGCTGGTGTGCTGCTGACCACGCGCGCATTCCTGCAATTGCGTACGCGTTGGGGGTGGTGCAGCATACGCCTCAGGCGATGCATCCGGGGCCTGCGATAGCAAAGCTGGTACTGACCATAATCACATGCTGATTGCAATCTTACCTCACACGAGCGGTCGAGCGCGTCGTACCGATCAGAGGTACCACGGCGCAAACTGTTTGCGGGAGCACTCTCATTCGTTGTGTTTGTGTTGTTTTTGAAAGGGGCATCTTCACATGGGATGACATCCGAGCCCACGATGCCCGAAGGCATGAGGGCGTGTCAGTTCCAACTGACTCTATCACCTCAAATTTGCGATGCAACCTAGTGTTCGCCGTCTGCAAGTTTGTACCCGTCTCTGATGTTAGCACGATCGCCCCCTCTATTCTTCTTATCATGCTTATTGGTGTCGGGCATCCCGCTCTGTTCGTTTACACTTTCCTCCTTCTCCTCCCCCTAGCCCCCAACCTCCTCATCGTCATGTCAAGGTTTTCTGATGTGCTGTTTTCCGCGCGTGTGTAGCGCGCTCGAATGTTTTATAATGTTCTTGCTACGTGAAAGCAGGCGGCTCCTCTGGCTCGCCGTCCCTGCGGGCCCTCTCGTGCGCTGCTAACTCATCATATGCGCCGCACGCTCTGGCTACATCCCTCCCTCGCAGGCGGTTTGCTGGCGCCCTGACCTGGTCGAGGAAGAAGAAATCACGGTGAGCATCCCGATTTGCAGTGGCCATCTCGTCACCAAGCAGGCACCACGCCGCAAGAAAACCGATCGGCCTGCCTTGGCCTGGGCGAGCAGCGGACGCAGATGCACGAGCTGTCCGAGTCAACCTGCAGTGCGAACTTCAACCTTCACGGCGCGCTGGGTTAGCGCATGTTGCCTCGAATGCACCATTGGACGCATAGTAGCTGATGCGATGCCCATTGATGTAGATAGTTGCCGTTGCCCTGCTTGAGGGGCCACGTGCTGGTCGAGGATCGCCTGGCAGTGGTGGCGGGGGCGGCGGCGCGCCACCCGCAGAGCTACCTGGATCGAGTGCGCTTCCGTCACCACTGGGCCCAAGTACGTCGGCACCGCTGCCATGCTGAGGAGCATCCCCACCGCCAGGCCCAGGTGGCGCTGGATCACTGCCAGTTGCAGGCGGATCACCGATGAGTGCTGGCGCATCATCTGCACATGCGTTGTCTGACCTTGGAGTTGGACATTGTGACGACGCAGGGGAATGACCGTCGGCGGGCGCGTCGCCACCAAGGTAGTCAACTCCAGCGCCGATATCATCATCCGACAGGCCGTCGAGCAAACCTCGCACGTCTTCACCTGGATCGAACCCCTCGGACCCATCATTGAGGTAGTGGTGTGCCTCGTCCGACTCGTCGGTGCATGCGGCGTCGCCCATGCCATCGTCGCCGATGCCACTGTCAACTGGCACATCGTCGGCGCACCCTTCATCGTCACAAGTGCCGCCTGCAATAGCAAGACCATCAGGTGGCGGATCACCGCCAGATGCTGGACGGCCACCCCCAGCGCCCCTCATCTTTCGAGTCGGTGGCCAGATTGATGTCGGCCCAGGGATACTAGTAATGCGAGCGACGGTGACGTGCTTTGGCTTGAACTCTACCAGAAACTTGCGGCTCGAGACAATGCTGTACCACTCCAGCTCCCAAGAAAGATCCTTGCGCACAATTTGGAACATCCTCAAGTCTGTCAGGGCCTTCGTGATTTCCACCTTGGGGAGCTTGAACTGATCACCCTAGGAGCCACTCTGGGTAGCACCCCCTCGATACTCGCCCACGTCATCTGCGATCGCGCCCCCATCTGGGCCGAATACCCCCCCCCCCTCTGAGAGTAAATCTCACATGCGTATGTAGCTGGGGTCTCACAACCCCTCCAGACTCCAAGCCCCCAGACCACCTCTGGACCCATACTCACGACCCATACTCCGCGCCCCTCACTTCGATCCAGGGCCACCTGAACGCTAACTTTTACACCGGGTGATGTGCCGAGCTATCCAACGCACGGGCGCTGCTGAACCTGCAGCGTGCACGGATGTTGCAATACAGCCTTGCCCGTCCACCAGCCTGATGTGGCTGAACGTTGGTTGGCCGAACAACGGCAAGCTAAAAGCTAGAGCGCACCGCACTTGGGTGGCAGCAGCTCCTGTGGCACACCTCACCGCCGTCCTGCCAATTCTCCCCTACACCCCGTTCACCGCCCAACCCCTTGTACTCCCCACTGTCACTGTTCATATCCCTGTTCGTTCACCCTCCGCACCTACCGCCGCCCCGTTCCTCATCAATCATGCTCCTCCTCCCCTATATAATATCGACCCCCAGCGCACCTCACAAGGGGTGTCCCGACCTAGTGACCACAGCACGTGGGAGAGCTCACGTGCGAGCGTGGCCCTTGCCGCCCGCCGCCATCGCCTTGGACGGCTTGGGCTTCCTGGGTGCGCTCTGATCCGTAGCCGTGCCAGTAGACCGCAAGGGCGTGGCAAGCTTCTTCGCAATCTGCACGCACTGTTGCCCGCGAACTTCGAGGCGCCCTTGAACACGCCTGCGAGGATGCCCCTGACCTCCTTGAGCTCCCTGGCATCTGCGCGAACCTGGTTCTGCAAGCGCTCCACGCTGAGGCGCATCTGGAGGGGATTGCACGCCCAAGGGTTCAAGGTCCTGCCCTTCTTGGTCGCCAACGGCTGCTGCATTTTCGGAGCCATCGCCGTCTGGAAGCGAAATGAACTGAGAACAAGACTGATATGGAAACTATGGACTTGAGAACAAGATGGGGAGACACGCTCAACCTGGCAACGATAGTTGAGCCGCATGGCGACGGACAACGGCATCCTAGTGGTTCCGAGGACAGTTGCGGCCTAGGCCACCGAGGCCGTAACGGCATCCTAATCGTTGCAGTCTGGACGCGCAAACAACCATTGAGAACAACATTGCGTTCAATTGGTTGCGCCAGAGGTTGCGCCGTCTGCGGCCGAGAAGACAAGCCAACCCATGGATTGCGCCAGAGGCGGCGCCCTCGGCCGCCGAACCTAACACCGCCCCCACACTGGTAGTGCCATATGATGCGCAATCGGCCGCCGAAAAAATCAACTACATCCTAGTGGTCACGCCGTGATTGCGCCGCCTGCTGGCAAGATAAGACGGTGGCCAAGTGGCCCGTCTTATGTTGATCCGGTTCGGGTTGCCAATGTTGTGTCGATTCCAGTTGCCCGTCTTGCGTTGGTTCTAGTGGCCCGTCGTGCGTTGATTCCAGCGGCCAGTCTTACGTTGATTACAGTGGCCCGTCCTATGTTGATTCCAATGGCCTGTATTAATACTCTGATTCCAGTGGCCCAATTCGTTATGTTCCCGGTGGCCCGCCCTATGTTAATCCAGTGGTCAATGTTATGTCGAGTTTGATGACCCGTTTGATGTGTATAATTGTGGTCCGTCTTATGGTGGTTCCAATGGCCCGTCATATGTTGATTCCAGTTGCCACTTGCATATTGATTCCAGTGGCTCGCTTTATGTTGATTACAGTGGCCCGCCTTATGTTGAGTACAGTGGCCCGTCTTATGTTGACCCAGCGGCCCGTCTTATGTTGATGACAGTGGCCCGTCTCATGCTGCATCCAGTGGTTCGTCCTACGTTGACTCCACACAGTGATCCCGCCCTCGGCTGCCCCACTCTGCACGCTCGAGGTTGCCGTGAAGTGGTCCCGCCTCGGACCGCTGGCCGCCCAAAACGATCGCACGGTGGTCCCGCATTCGACCGCCCCGCGCTGCGCGTGCGAAGTGGCCAAGCCCCCAGGGTCCACTTGACGCGCGCGTTCCACATCCGATCCATTTCTGATGGCCCTGGGACCCTAAAACGGCCTCGCACAAGCCGAGGCGGGCGGCAAGCCTCGACGTCACACCGAACAAAAAAAACTATCATGGGCCACTTCAGCCCCACAGCCAGCTCCAAATGATGACGCCGAAAACCGATCAAGGACCCACTCTTCTTCCGCCTCCTCCTCCACCACCTCCTTGGCACGATAGGCACAATGGCCCAACTTTGCTCAACTCTGGTTTTGCAACATGCAATTCAGAAACGAGTTAACACATGTCTGGCATTCATTAGTTTCGTCACCGTACGTGCGCTGACATATGTTATTCACAACGTTTGCATCCACTTCGTGGGTGGATAGCGGCTTTGTCTCAACCGTGGATATCGCCTTAGCGCCGCGCACATTCGAGTCCAATCGGACAACTTGCGAGGAGGATTATGCGCATGGTCTTACGAAGAAGAGGGGGCATGAGACGGGACGGCACATGGCAACACCGCTGGTGCAATTCGAGTTCTCTCTGGTCCTCCTCTTCCTGCCTTCTCCTCCTCCGTTCTTCGGTCATCTCGACTTGGCGCTGGCGCCAATGTCCGTGCCTCCCAGGAGGGACGCGCACTAACGGCAGGCGTGCGCCCTCTGCGCAGCCGTTCCAAACACAGGCGCATAAAAATGACCGCGGTCATTTTTATGCGGTTGTCGTGCTAGGCTGAGCTCGGCTCTGAATCAGCTGGAGGGGGTTGGCCACCGACCCTTTGGTTGCGCCACCTGTGCCACAGGAAGGCCCAGACATGCGACGCCCTGAAAACATCAGGGCAGAGGTTTTGACTGTGTTCGGCCTCCTGGACCGCTCGCGTTGGATGATCAGTTCCTGCGCGTCGAGTTGCGGCCATCGTCATAGCAGAGCGTGTTCCCGAACCGTATTCCAGCACGGCAAGGCGCCAATTGTAGGACCGCGAAGTGAGGGGTCCGACCAACCTACCCCGACCGAGAAGTGGAGGGGGCGAGCGACCCACTCCTTACCGAGAACTGAGGGGCCCGAACGACGCCTCCCCGACCGAGAACGGAGGGGCCCGAACGACTCGCACCCGACCGAAACATGAAAGGTTCGAGCGATTAACGTCAGAGAACGGATGAGCCCGACCGACCCAATTCCGACCGAGAATTGGAGGGTCCGAGCGACTCATTTCCGACCGAGAACGGAGGGGTCCGAACGACCCACCCCCCCGACCGAGCATTGAGGGGCCCGAACGACTCACTCCCGACCACGCCCAGGGAGTTGGGTGTATTGCATTGTCATTGCAAGGCATTGTATTATCATTGCGCGTTTCCGGTCGGGAAACTTGGGAAGCCAATTGTGGTGCCCCACCAGCCTTGCACCAGCAGCACGGCTTTGTGAGATACCATGGGGCAACAACCAGGTGGCACCAACCGCATGGCACAGCCATAGAACGCAGGCTGTCCAACAACATGGACCATCAACAATACTAATACTACTACAACGACAGGCACACGTTTCCCGCCGTGCGACGCCCAAACCCATGGCGCTTCTCATACACAACGGCCCGATGCCAGCCATAGGGCGCCACCCATAGGGCACCATGTGGCATCGCTTGACGAATACTGACCGCATGGCGAAGTATCGGGAACCCTTCTTCAGGGCATGAAGTGGGTTGACCTCAGACGCTTTCGAAACAGTTGCGCGGTGCGCTATATGTATTCATGTACGTGTCGTGGCAACCAATCCCGCACTTAGTTTGGCGTTCTGGCTCACTCTCACGGTCTGCCGCGCTACGTTCACAGGCATTGCACGGCCCCAAACACGCACCTAGAACTCCGAGAGAAACGCCCAAAAGTGTTGGTTAACGATGCTCCCGACGCAGTCCGAGTGCGCCCCAGCGCGCCCAGGAGGGCCGAGGTTGCCAGACAGATGCACGGCCCCCCCCAGAGCTCCCCGCGAAGGCGCATACGCAATGATGGGAAAAGGGAATGTGTATCCTTCCGTTGTTTGAAGGGCGGTGGCGCTGTCGCGTTGTTATGCTTCCAACGCCTCATGGTTGCCTGAAAGACCCTCGATGGCAGCCTAGGGCGGCCACGTAGACAACCGAGGGGGCCCCAATGCGGACCAGTGGCGCATTCAGATTGTTAGCCAACGCCGCCCAGGAGGACCGAGACACCTGAGACGGCCCACGATAGAGCGCCCAAGGGGGCGGATGCGAGACGGCGTGCCGAGCTTGCCACCAAGGTGGCAGACATAGCCCACCAGAGGCCACCGACCGCCCCTCACCACCTAGAACAACACGCACGAAGCCTACGAAGTGACTCCAGGAGGCCTCAGGTAACCACTGGCACCCCAGACGCCCGCCAAGAATCACCCAAGGCCATCCACGAACCCACCGACAATCACCCCACGAGCCCCTCAGCGACATCCAAGCGGCTCCTGGAGGTCCTGGACCAGCCCGAACTTGGCGGCGGGGTGGGCCGAAGGCCTGAAAGCGTATGCTTGAGACATCCTCCAATGATGCTCGCAATTGGCACGTCGGGCTGGCACGGACGAATATAGGACGCACGATGTGCCGCCACTAGCAAGGCACACCGGCGCGAACCAACGCCATGCACAAGGGATATGGCTCATCTCAGAATGCTGGGACAGATGAGGAGAGCGAGCATTGACATTCACGCACCATCATATTACAATTATGGGGCGGAACGGTGGCTGGCCCAGGGGAACGCGCCAACAATGGGCAGGAGGACGAGGAATGCGAGCAAGCCAAGGCTGACTGATAGGGTGTGTACGAAAAGAGAGCTGGAGGAGGGTCGCCGTCGTCACGTGCCTAGCGCAGAGTTGCCACGCGTCGACGTGGTGCCCGACCCCCAGTTGAAGAGGCGTGAGTGTCCCGAGACCCAGATCGCATTTCCCGAGCCGATGGCATGGCCCATGGGTGGACGGCATCCCCCCCAGGAAACTACGTGTGGTGTTGGGTCCCGCTCTCATTTCAAAGGTTGGGCCGACGCTAAAACTCGACCGTTTCAACTGTACTGCCATGGATTCGTGCGCCCGCGCCCGCCTCGAGCTCGACGTAGCCATCGCCCAGCCGCGCAGGGAGATCTGACCGAGGTCGAAGCCGAAGGAAGCTCGGGGAGCACGGTGAGAACGAGTGGTAACCGATGTGCAAGAACATGACGTCCGTCCTGGCGTCCACGGCTTCCCCAGCGGCTGCCGCCCACGGGTTGTCAATGGCAGGCCGTCTCCCCGTGAGTCTTGCAACCGCATCTCGATTCATCAGCAGGCCCATGTGGTAGGGGAAGTTCCTCTTGTTGAAGTGGTGTTTCATCTCACGTAAGAACCTGTTTCTGAACATGTAGGTCTGGTGCCCCTCTGGACTGCACAAGCATTGGCCTACCTCGTGACAAGGAGGCTTGCCTCGACGTTGCGGACGTGGTGGTAGAGGTTCGCACTCGTCATGTAGGATCGGCTTGTGCTTCCTCTTCCAGTCGGCATCCATGGTCTTCCCGAGGTTTGTCCGCTTGGAACTGTCATGCAACATCCTCACCATGGTCGCGCAGCAGTGGGTGTCGGGCACGAGGCTGATCGACAAAGTAGATGCTGTAGGTATCGGCGCCAACTCATTCGACAGCTGGTCGATCCCTGGAACGGCCTGCATGAACATCTCTTCCTGTGCGTTGAGTTGACTGACGCGATGAGCCACGAAAGCTGCGTCCTTCGCAGCCCGCTGGCCAGCGACCTCCTTGCTGATGCGCTTCTCCCGCTTAACACGGTCGACCGCCTGCTGAACTGAAATCTCGCCTCTGTGGGCCTGCTCCATCGCCGACGCTGCCTCGTCTTCAAGTGGAATGGGGTTCCCGCTGCTCGCGGCCAAGGCCCGCTGCACGGCAGCCTCATGCTGCTGCTGTCGCTGGTGGCGGCGCACTTCGCTCGTAGTAAGGCCGAAGCTCGAAGCTGGTCGACCCGTGCACTTCCTCATGTCCCTGTGCACCTCAGTGGCGCGACTCCCCTGCTCCTGCAACATCGCCTTCATCTCATCGCCGATGTGCTTGTACGCCTGTGCAAGGGCGCGCAGGTCGGGCCTGCCCTCTGTGCCACGCGACTCGTTGCGAATGTACGCCCTCCATGCACCGCCGCCTCCGGAATGCGACGCTTGGCGTCGGGCGTCGCCAGGCCGATGTCCAGGCGGTTGGGCAGCGCTCGCACCGTTGGGCAAGAACCACGCCGATGTAGCGACCGAGTGCCGAGCCTTCTCCAAAACAAACTCTGCGCTGAGCTGGTCAAGGTCGCACCCCTTGGTGCGCACGGACCTGGCGAAAATTCGACGTCGAATCGACGCGTGTCCAACCTCGATTCGGCTGATGCACACGTCAGCCATCATCAACAAGAGCTCGATGCGAGCACGCGTCACATGACTGTTCAACGTGCCGCCGTCCTTCTCAGTAATCTCGATGAAACGCCTCACGAACGGGTCAAGGATGCATTTCTTCACCTGGCTCATATAAGACGCGGGGTCCTCGGACTCCAGCATGACACGGAAGAACGCGAGCGGCGTCGCATCGAAATGCCTCTCCAAAGTAGCCTCCATGCAGAAGCTGCTGGCCGACAGCAGCTTGAAGGCCATGCTCCTGTTAGAAAGGGTCTTGCAATTGGGCGGCAACAGGTTCTCCCAGAGCTCGCCGTTCATGAAAAATCTGTCCTGCTTCCCTCTGAAGCGCGTGTCCAGGAGCTTCCTCACTGCAACGCCCAATCGGTAATCCCTCATGGGGGCGGTGGCGCCCGCAGCCCGCACTGCGTCAACGTACTGCTGAGAATGCCCCCACGTGTCTGATGCCAAATGTAACTGCAAAGCAAGATAATCTCGCAATGGCTCCATCACTGTTCGGACGAAGATGCACTGAGCTAGCGGGCGAGAGGCCAGCCATTCCCCTGCGAGGCGCCTGTGCATTTCATTGTCGACTGCAGACTTAGGAGGGTCCAACATGCGCTGAGGTACATCTCCCTCCGCCTGAGCAGCGCCAGCGTCAATGCCACCTCCGCGCTCGACGCCCTCAACTCCGTCGCCGCCGTCTGCGTCGCAGTCACCAGCTGCGCCCTCGGGGACCGCGCGGATGCTCCCCTTCCTCGAAATCCGACCAAACCTCTGGGCCTGAGTGGGCTAGATCGGCCCCTTTGCTTCATGGCGCTCGTCTTCCCCAATCGAGGGGGGGGGCAATCCCCCCCCCCCCCACCCTGGGCCTGGAGAGGGGGGTGGGGGGGGGGGGCGCGAGGTATCAGGGCTTCTTTTCGACTCTTGGGATGGTTGTTTCTGACACCCCTCACGAGGATCGTGGCATCCAGTGGTGGGGGAGAGGGAGGGGGCGCAGTTGACGCCGCTGCTTCGCATATTAGATCGCCTCCTAGATTGCCTCAAGGGGCGCAGTTGGCCATCCAAGACGCCCCCAGACACCCACCCCCCAAGAGCTTCGCGCAAGCTTTTCGGCGAAGGCTGCGAGAAGCTCTTGGGCGGCGCCTTGGAGCAGGCAGACAGCAAGAGGGGGCGAGAATGGGCGGAACAACGCATGCAAGGAACACAATAGGAACATAAAGGAAACATGGCACAGAAAGGAGGAAGGAAAACACAACATCCCAAGGCCAAGTCCGTTCTCTGACCCAGTGCTGTAAGACGGGATCGCGGTACCTCGCGAAGCGTGAACGATGCGACTGGCAAATTGTGGGTTCGTCGCTGAGCACAGACCGTGGCAAGCCTCGAGGAGAAGGACCTGGTCCATCGCTTCATCTGATTTGGTCCATCTGTGCCTGGGCCACAACGTATATTTGCATGAAGCCCCAACTTGAATCAAAGCTGAAGAAACGATATCGCTGACCCTGTCCCTATCGACCACGGCACCGACAGGCACACAGACTTCGACTTCCCTCATGTTGTTCCAATCTCCATTCGGGAGGCCGTGCATGGCCATCAGCTTGTCGATGCGATGGGCGCTCCGTGCCAAACATATTCGCAGAATATGAAGCCTGCGTTGATTCGAACTCGCTGGAGGGCTGCCGTACTTGATGCGCAACCGTTGCTTGACTGTGTTCTTCAGCTCCTGCCGCCAGATCAACAAACCAGTCCCGTAATTGATGGAGAGAGCCCAATGTATTTCACCACGGATGGCATTGTCCACCAAACCGAACACTTTCTTGAAACAGCCAGCCGTTTTATGCACCTGGCATTCGATCGATAGTCCGAGCCATCCGCCATCATCGGATTGAAGGTCGGATAGGATGTGGCGCTCAGCTTTCAAATTTGAAACAGCAGCACCATCTACTACGAGCCTGACTTTCATTTTGAATTGACGGGATGGCTGTCCAACTGCTCTTGTCATTTTGCATGCTGCTTTGAGGCACTCCGCCGTTGCGCGGTCCATGTACTGCAGCCAGTTGAGGGCATTGCCAATACAGATTGCAAACTGGTTGTGTGGATGTCAGCTTTGCACCAACAAGCCGAACTTGGACTCACTCTGCAAAATCCTGCGCGGTACCGTGGCGTCGGCTGAGAAATCCAGCGACCCGAAATCGCGATGAACAAGCTGTTGTCCTGGAAGGCCGCTGCCTTGGGACGACGGTGCCACGCTCTGCTCTGACAAAGAGTCCGTGGCGCGAGTGCGCACTGGCAGAGGTGTCTCGTCCGCTCTGTAGTAATCAACATACAGCAGCAAGGAGTCGTTGGGCATCTGAGCGACGAGGGCGTCCTCCAACTGCGACCGCGACGCGCGGCTTGATAATATGAGTGCGTTTGCCAGCCGTTCTTTGTACCACGTCAGTTGGCCTGCACGCACGCCCACAAGTTCTGCAGTAGAGATGGCGCTAGCCACCCGTTGGCACCGTGAAAACAGAAAATTGGCAAAACGATCGCAGTGGTGATCAGAGTCCGCCGCGCACGGGTTAAACCTGCAGTCTGAAACAATTCGCTTCGCCATGTTGCGGGCCATGCGGGTGAATGGGAGCAGGGTGCTATCATCACGACCAAGTTGGCTGTGTGTGTCGTCTGGAATGCGCATCTTCATCCGCTTGGCCATGTCTGTCGGGTCGAGGCTGCAGTCGTCCAGCTGATATTGTTCGTCACGAAGCCTCCTGCGATCTGCATCTGGTGTGGGGTCGGCGACGAGTGCGTCAACTTGTGCGCCCCTATGCACATTCAAGAGTCCAATGTCGGACTCGTCAGCTGCCTGATGAATATCAACTCCGAGGAGTGCAGCATCCGCCCAGGAGGACATGATATGGAAGAATAAAAATAGGAGGATCATGGATTGAAACCTCTGGATGGCCAAATTGGCTATGGGAGAACGTCGGCGGGGAGCGCTGGAAGCTGCAACAACAGAACAATGTGGAACCAGGACCCACTTCCCAATCCTACGAGGCGGCCGCGAAGCGGCAACGAGGCGGCACTGGCATCAATCGCGAATCCTCGGCGGCCCCACCCGCCAACGCACGAGGCGGCAACGAGGCGGCAACGAGACGGGTTTGTCGGCAAGTTGACTGAACCTCGGCGGTGGACCCATCCAAATTGTGAAAGGCAAATTCCGACACCATAGGTGCAAGCTCGGTTTGGGGAGTCAGCGGAAACATCTGCGGGTCGGCAGATCGAATCAGGAAAGATGCCCGAGCGTTGCGATGGTCACTAGATGCTAGCACTTACAAGGGTTTATTTGTTCTTCCTACTGGTTCTGACGGCTCCGCCGACAGTTTCCCTCATTGCCGCCCATCGCCGCTTCGTTGCCGCCTTGTTGCCGCAACGCGCGCTTGACGGGTCAACCGAAATTGGGCCACGTTGTTGGCAGCGCCACCCCGTTGCCGCATTGTTAGATTCGTGCTGGGCGGGCACGTCAATGGTCCGAAGCGTTTTCAACGCGGCTTGGACAAAACAACAGATCTCGTTTTCCGCCTCTCGATTAGCGCCGACAAATTCACACGTCGTGGCTTGCACCACGTGCTCCACAAACTCACCATATAAGAACAAACTGTTTGGAATCCACGCATGTTGGTCCAACAACCGTGGGTTCCAAACAGTTTGTTCTTGTATCTGCATATGCAATATCTAGATATCCAACCCAAATATTATCAATCGCCCTGCGCATGACAAACACAGCAAAGCATTGCGGCCCAGACATCTAGAGACACGGATTGAGAGAGGGATGTGATGAAGGAGGACATACGCGTTATCGTAGAGAAAGCAAATAACATACAGCATCCGCCCACCACTACTTGTGGCAAACGAACTCACCAACGGTACTGTCAACACGACTCCGCCGAGACTCTGAACATGCAGTTTTGGAGAATGGCCAAAAACACTTAAAACACTACTTAAGAGGGGACTTGCCCTGTAGCTCACAATGGTTTCATAACACTTGAGTGTAGGTCGCGTTCCCGACCAGCGCGGGGATCTCGCACTGGCCATCGCCGTTCTCGCCGCAGGCCACAGCGGTGCCGTCGCTCCTCAGCAGCACCGTGAAACAGCATCCCGCAGCCACCTGCGAGTAGATCAGGTCCCCGACCAGCGCGGGGATCTCGCACTGCCCCGAGCAATTCTCGCCGCAGGCCAACGCCGCACCGTCGCTCCTGAGCAGCACCGTGCGGCCGCCTCCAGCGGCCACCTGCGAGTAGCACAAGTCCCCAATTGGCGGGGGGAGCTCGCACTGACCAAAGAAATTCTCGCCGCAGGCCACGGCCGTGCCATCGCTCCTGAGCAGCGCGGTGCGCTGGGCTCCGGCGGCTACCTGCGAGTAAGTCTCGCCCCCGTCCTGCGCGGGGAGTTCGCACTGTCCCTCCTCATTATCACCGCAGGCAACGGCCGTGCCGTCGCTCCCGAGCAGCACCGTGCGGCCGTATCCCGCGGCGAACATCCAGCGGGAACCGCGGCCGAGGAGCGGCCGACGAGGCGCAGCTCGCAGCTCGAGCCAGGGAGACGACCGCGCGGAGAGTCGGACCCCCTCCGCGGATCACCCGGAAGGAGGCGAAAGCTTGGAGTTCGTCATCGTCGTCGTCGTCGGCGTCGTCGTCATCGTCTTCCTCTTCCTCCTCGTCGTCGTCGTCGTCTTCTTCTTCGTCGTCGTCGTCGTCGTCGTCGTCGCCGTCGTCGTCGCCACCGTCGTCATCGTCGTCGTTGTCGTCGACGTCGGGGGCGAGCGTGGCGACGACGATGGCCACAGAGGATCCCGAAGTGAATGAAGGCGGCGACCAAGAAGGTCGACGAGGAGCAGGAAAGGATGAGAACGAGGACGACGATAACGAAGTGGATGCCGACGAAGGGGAGGAGCGAGAATGAGGAAGAGGAGCAGGGATGACAAGTAGGATACATGGAAATGGAGGAGAGGATAATGAGAAGGAGGGGAGACGGGATGATGAGGACGACGAGAAGGACACAACGAGGAGTCCAATGGGACGAGAGAAAGAAGATACCAGCGATGAGGAGGGAGGACGATGAGGGAGAGAAGGAGAGGAGGAGGAGTACGATGACGAAGAACAAGGTTGATGCCACGCGCGCGCGAGATGCCGCGCAGCATCACCACCCAGGAAATCAGCCACGGCCCTCTGCAAGCACTTCCCACGCCAAGGGCCGAGACAGGACGCAGCAGGCGCGCGACGGCTCCCCCGCCCGCGACCACCGCGCGGACGCGGCCGGGGCGCACGCACGAGACGGAGATCATCAACAAACACTGGCCCTTCCCCACAGAGCTGAGCCCCGCTCAGCCCCTCCGGACACGCGCCCAGAGCGATCATGACGCATGCAGCGCGCAAGGCCAAGTCCCCGACAGAGCCCTTGGACTCCCGCACCACCCGACACTTCGCTCCGCCGATGCCAACCCCCGGCGAGAACCTGCGCGCACACACGCGGCGGCGGCCGCACGTCCGCGCCGAGAGCCCATGAAGCGCGCAGCAGAACCACCTGGCGGTTACAGCCGCAGCCGAACGATCGCCCAGATGAGGCGAATCCATAACCTCCCGCACGAACACATCCCGTTGCCGCCACCAGCGCGCCACCGCGACCCGCCGCGTGATCACCACTCTGCTCTCTTCCTCTGGCGGACACACGCCGAAAGCGACGAGAACGCAGGCAGCGCGCAGAGCCGCATCGCCCACGGTCCACGACGACGCGTCGGGCGCAACCCCGGCGGCGGCGCAGAAGACGCGCGCCGGCGCCCGTTCCGAGCCGGAAGAAGCACGGGCCGCTCGCGCGATCAAGAACTGCTGCACGCGCCCGTTCTTGAGGGCCGCCTTCCGCGCAGTGCGCCCGGCCGAAGCCCGCTCTGGCGACGCGTCGCGCAGCAGGAGGAGGGGCACGACGGAGTGCAGCACGCGGTTTGCAACCTGCTCGTTCCGCTCGGCTGCCGCCTCCGTCCGTCGCAACCACTCCGCGTCCCGCCGCGCACACCGAGACCACCGGCAGGACGCGCGCCACGCTTTCCAGAGCGATTTCTGCTCGCACTCCGCCACCTCCAACGCGGAATTATCGACAACCTCCTCGTAGATCACGTCGTGCTCTGCGAGCAAACACGCCTGCACCCGGTCGTCCCAGGCCTGCAACTCCCGAGCCGGCGCCGAGCGCTCCGCGCACCACCCTAGAGACGCGAAACCACCACCCGCCCGGGTCCCGTTCCCGTACCTCGTAGAGCTCTTCGACATCGATGAGCTAGAGAAATTCCGGCGCGGGGTGGAGCTAGTTGGCCAACCCGATGAAAAGAGACAATGTGGCAACTCTGGGTTGGGTTTTGCTATAATTTCAAAGAAATTTGACAATTCATTTTGAGAAAACATAATTTTACGCCGAGCATTGGCATATAAACTTTGTTCTGTGAGCAGCTCAGCTCTCTAGAGCCAGTTTTACTATCGGAAAATTAAGAGCAGCCAACATGAAATTGACACGGAAAAATGTGAATTCGACTTTTTTTTCTAGAAATACCCCGAGAAGCTCCCTGCTTCGATCCTGAGCACTCTTACGCGTGCTAGGAGCTCTACGAGGTTCCCGGCGGTGACCAGGTTGACGGTGACCAGGGTGACCCGGCGGTGACCAGGGGTGGAGCTAGTTGATCGACCTGGCCAGAAAAGAAGATGTGATAACTTTCGGTGGGTTCTGCAATGATTAAAAAAGATATTTGACACTTCATTTTGAGAAGGCAGATTTTTCGCACCTGTAAACGACTTTGAGGGCTTCTGCGTCTCGATATGCTCTGTAGGCGCACATTTACTGTCAAAACACTTGGCGCAACCAACTTCATCTCGACATGAAAAAAATGAATGTTGCATTTTTCTAGAAATGCCCCCAGAAGCCGGACTCTCAGCACTCTCACGAGTGGATAGAGCTCTACGAGGTTCCCGGCGGTGACCAGGTTGACGGTTCACCGCCGGCGCCACCTGCACCCGGGACCAGGTCCCGGTCGCGGTCCCGGTTCTGCCCCAGGTGTCGGTCCCAGTCCCGGTCCCGTCCCCAGTGCCGGTGGCCTTCATCATCGTCCTCGCCTTCGTCGCTGTCCCCCTCCTCCTCCTCCTCCTCCTCCTCCTCCTCCTCCTCCTCCTCCTCCAACTCCTACTCCCCCTCCTCCTCCTCCTCCTCCTCTTCCTCCTTCTCCTCCTCCTTCTCCTCATCCTCCTCCTCCTCCTCATCCTGCTCCTCCTCCTCCTCCTGTTCCTCCTTCTGCTTCTTCTCCTCCTCCTCCTCGTCCTCTTGCTTTGGCCCCCCCTCCCCCCGTCGTCCTCCTCGTCCTCCTCCTTCTCCTCCTCGGCCCCCAGATCTCCGTTTTCACCTGCACCGGCGCAGTCGCCGCCACCTCCAGCCAAGGCCATGTGTTTCTTCTGCTTCGCTTCCTGCTGCTGCTTCTTCTGCTTCTCCTCCTCCTTCTCATCCTCTCCCTCCTCTTCCTCCTGCTCTGTCTCCTTCTCCTCCTTCTGCTCCTTCTTCTCCGGCTCTTGCTCCCGGCGCGGTGTCACCACCGGGGATCCCTGCCAGAGAACACGCGCCTGAGCGGGAAAATTCTCGTAGCAAATTCATATTCTTATTCCTCTCATAATCCGGTTTTCCAGATAATGACGTGCCAATCCCTAAAACAGACGCCGAGCGGGAGCATGCCCGCAAAAAAAATGCAAGAGTATCATGCGTTTCGTTTCCAGACTCCGCAACCTTCGACGCGGAAAATTCGCGAGCATTTCCCACTTGCAGCGATTATTTGCCAGGCCAAAAAACGCCGGCTTCCAGACACGCCGGGCAAAAAGACGCTCGCCAAAAATTCGCAAGCGTTTGCCCCTCCCAGCACGCAGCCCTGTTCCTCGTGCACCCCGCCCCTTCAAAACTAACTGGGCGCCGGCGGTAAACCGTCAACCTTTCTTACCGCCGGGGGACTAGCTTCCTCACAATATATAATGTTGGAAAACAATTGCAGAGAACGAATAATTTTCCAGCCCAAGCGATTTCAGACCTCGATGCAACACCCGAACGCCCCCGATGCTCCTGGATTGTCGTCTGCACGAGCTCTGTAGCTCTCCTACGCCCGAGTTACGTGCGCAAATCGGCAGCACTTCTCAAGATGACTCGAACAATACGCACAATTTGGCAATAGCTCGAGTATTGGACCGAGTTCAGACCTCTGCGTGCGACAGCGCGACGCGCCTGATGTCTCCGAATCGATTCCTGATTACCAGCCCTGCAGCCCTCCTTCAGCCCGAGTTACGTGCAGAAAACCGACAGCACCTCTCAGAATGACTCGAACCATACGAATGGTTTTGCAGACCAAGTTCGGGCAGCAGACCGAGTTCCGAGCTCTCCATTCGACAGGCGAACGCGCCTGATGTCTCGAAATCGATTTCTGTGACTACCAGCACTGTAGTCCCCCAACAGCCCGAGTTGAGTTCAGAAAATCGACCACATATCTCAAGATGACTCGAATAATACGAATAGTTTTGCGATTCTAGATCGGGCAGCAGATCGAGTTGAGAGCTCTGCATTCAACAGACGAACGCGAATGGCGATTCTGAATCGGTTTCTGTACACATCAGCTCTGTAGCTGTCATATAGCTCGAGGTAAGTACAGAAAACCGAGAGCGCCTGTCAAGATGACTCAAATAATACGAATAGGTTTGCGGACCTAGCTCGGCTAGCAGACCGAGTTCAGACCTCTGGATGCAATAGCCCAACGCGTCTTATCATTCCGAATCGATGAGGTGTGCTTACCAGCTCTGTAGCTGTCATATATCTCGAGTTAAGTCCAACATACCGACAGCGCGTGTCAAGATGACTCGAACCAGCCGATCCCGCCTGGACGCTTTTTGGCAGTAAGAGGTACCCGATCGAGCTGAGATCAAGATGGCGAGCGGGAATAAGATCGAATATCACGGGTCAAAATACTAGAGCTCTAACGAATTGATGAATTTGGAGAACAAAATTTTCAACCGACCCAAAGTCACCAAAGGTCTGTCGAGATTGTTCTTGCCAACTAGCTCTCCAGGGGAAGCTCTACAAATTATCTGATCTACCCTGTCGAGTACGGCCCAGGGATTGCCTATTCGCCTGGTGTGGAGAGTTCGGGCCCAGTACGGCGCCCGGAACGAGTTCGTGCTGGCCCCTACAATATCACCGCGGTACAGCTGTGCTATTGGGTCCACCAATCGCCACTCAGGTCTCCATAGCATCCCGGTTCAGCTGTGTAAAGAGCTCTGAGGCGGCGAGGCAAGAAAGAGAGAACTCCAGTCCGAGGACTGAACCGAAGCGAGAAGATTCGAATCCCGAGCCTCCAGCCAGTGCCGGAAGCCCGAGAGCGCATCCAGCGCCGCTCAGGCGCAGCGCCTGCCGCGCGCACCCCTCCCACCGGCCACGCGAGGCTGGGGTGCGCTGGCGGCCGCGCGGCGCTGAGGA